TAACTTCGACTTTCGCGGTGTATTGTACTGTCACTGATAGCATATGTTCAACATTCTGTTTCATCTGCATTTAACTGTCATGCTTAAATCAGGCCAGACGACAAGAGTTGATGCTTAAAGTGCAATCCAATATTCGCTACCCAGGGAATAAGCCCTACTGAATTCAGTTGACTCTTATCTCCTAGTACAGAACTACAGCAACGCTCTTTAGTGGTTTCACTGGAGCAAGTCATTTTGTCAGATCTCCGGAAACTCATCTTTTCTTTCTTTCTTTCTTTCTCTCTCTCTCTCTTTCAAGGCCATTTATAAAATGGTGGGCACCGTAATAATGATGAAAATGAATGAAGATGGTCTGACACCAGAGCAACGAGTAGACAAGATCTTCAGCAAAATGGATAAGAACAACGATGACCAGATCACGTTGGATGAATTCAAAGAAGCCGCCAAGAGCGACCCTTCCATCGTATTACTCCTGCAATGTGACATTCAGAAATGAGCTTGTATAAAATGCTTTTCATGGACTGCACAGAAGTTTAAATGTTCCATTCAGTTTGCAGCTATCTATACAACACACACAGACACACACACACACACACACACAAAACAAACAAAAATTGCTTGGACTATCTATCAATGGACTTGCTTCTTGTGATTGAAACACTTGTGTGCATGAGAATGTCAATTGCTAAAGAATTTTAAAAAAAATAATCTATTATAAAACAAAAATTATGCCACATTGTGATGTGCGCAATGTCATTTCATAAGTCCTTTTTCCTCTGATGCCTATGCAGCGACACCATGCTGCAGTGAATTATACTATTTATTGTTCAAGTTTTACTGATGCTAGCTGTTATGTCTTCTTAAACTGGATAATGTTAGTGACACTGAACTCCCCATGGTAGCGTAACTCTTCATTAGCAAGTATGTCACCATTCTGCTATATAGTCGTAGTGGACAGACTTGAGGGGCAGCTTTAGGAGTCTGATCCAGCCCATGTGCTTGTATTGTCAGTGGAGATAAATGTATTTCATTTGCATGACTTCTTAGGTTCGCCTTAATTCTTACCTCATTTGCATCCTTCATTTGGAAAAAGAAAAAGGCCCATGTCAGAGGAATGAAGCGGAAGATGAAACTTTTAAAAAGCTAACCCCACTAAGGTGTTCCCGTAGCTGAAAGCTAAAACGAACAAACAAATCGAGAAATAGAGAACAAACATATTTTTCAATGTTGTTTTATTGGAAGTTTGAACTGTTTTGTTGGGAGTGTATTAATTTCTGCTTGAAATCTTCATAAGCTTCCAAAAAAGGTTGAGATCAAGGTCCCGAAATAAATTTATAACATTTGACTGCTCATGTGTTTCCTTTTACACAGGTACTTCGCTGCTAGTGCTGGAATTAAATAGGGGATGAATGTTATTTGATAGCCAAATATTTCTCCGTGGAGCTTCAATGTATGTATGGGGACTTCACCCAGATGTTTACAGAACTCCGCGCCAAACATTTGCCATTGCAGGTGTGATGGACAGGAGGAATAACTGTGAGAAACAGAAGGAAGAGCTGCAAACAAGGCAATAGTAGATAATAGAAATCTGCGTCCAAAACAGAAATGTAATTTGAGAAAATGTCTCAGGCTTGACTCTCCCTAGTTATCACCAAGAAAAAGAGAGGGAGATGGCGAAGCGCATTTGGACATACAAGATTCTGTTACTGTAACCGTATAATAAAAGTAGTTTTAGCATTCATAACTTTGGTTTTCTAGTCTGGTCTACTGCAAAGGGCTAACGTCAGCCTTTCATAATTCCTAGAAACTACTATGAAAGTTAGGCGATTCTCCGGCTCTCGTTCTTCTATCACACATTCCAGGAACATCAAAACATTTGAGCTCCAGCAAAAGGTTATACAGTTCTGATTTTAATTTCTAGAATCGCTTCTAAAGAGGGCATTTGAAACCATGGGTTGAAAGGTATTTGATCCCAAAAGGGAGGACTATGGCAACAAGATTATTTTTTTATTTTTTACATCCCTCATAAAATCAGAGGAGCCGTATTTCCAAAGCCATAGGGAGTATAAAAAAACATTAAACCTCACCAAAAACCAAAACACACCAGTTCAACTGATCCTGTAATTACTATTGTTCGAACGGTGTTCTTTTCTGATAAAAAATATATTGTAAGAGTTCCCAGGTTGTTTTCCCAAGATAGGCCTTAGCAAAATCTTGGAAACAGAGCAAGGAAAATGTTGGCAAAGAATGCAAACCTAGATTCCTTAATATGGCTCCTAATGGATTTTCTGTGGTCACCGTTGTCTTAATAAGAAAAGCTGAGTAGAAAAGCTGGAGTTTTAGTATCCACCTAGCTTTGTCTCTTAAAGTATGAGTTGTTTCCATAAAATTATGGGAGTATAGGCTAAGACCATCTAGTTGAAAAGCATGTCCTGGAAAACTCCTCTCATGTTACAATGCAGGTAAATTGATTATCCTAAATATCAGGCCAAAGGAAGGGAGTGTTATGGCCTAACAGCGGCCAGCGGAGTTGGCAGCAGATTTGGAGAGCGAGGAGGTTGGGGAGGAACATGGGCTAGTCCTGGAGTCTGGGGAAGTCTCTGATGAGGGCTCTGTGTCGGAGGCAGAGAGGGGTCCAGAGCCGTATGCCTGTTATCAGCTACCTTCAGAGTCAGACATCAATGAGGCAGACGAACAGCTGGAGCCTGTTCCCAGTGTGCGCATGTGCAGAGTTGCCAGATGAAGGGAACCGCTAAAGAATAGGGGTCAACTTGGGAGTAAAACCACAGGTGGACAATGAATGGCCCCTCCCAGAGGAAATAAGAGCCAAGGTGGTGCAGTGGTTAAATGCAGCACTGCAGGCTACTGCTAGATCAGCAGTTCAGCGGTTCTAATCTCACTGGCTCAGGGTTGACTCAGCCTTCCATCCTTCCGAGGTGGGTAAAATGAGGACCCAGATTGTTGGGGGCAATATGCTGACTCTCTGTAAACCGCTTAGAGAGGGCTGAAAGCCCTATGAAGCGGTATATAAGTCTACTGCTATTGCTATAAATAAAAGAGGAGCAAAAGGGGAGTGGGGTTTGCAGGAGACAATTGGTTCGCTTAATTGGTTCGTGACTCTCTTGAGACTTCTTGCCAAGTTTTGCAGATACTGGCCTGTCACCTCTCCAAGCCAGATAAGGTCTGTGACTATAAATCCTCCCTTGAAAGATTTTGCTGAAGGTGAATGAGCAGAATTCACAGTAAACTAATAAAAGGGGTTTTTGTCAGGACCAGGAGTTTGCTTCATGCTCAGTCAGAACAGGAAGGTCAAGTGGGGAGAGAAATATTAAAGTGGTTCAGTGGCTTGCTATGAAGTCCAAAGCACTCAGTTCAAAGACCCTGGCGGGTTCAAGTCCCGACCCCTCCAGGTGATATTGGAAGGCCTATCAACCTATGATGAAGGATAGACCTTGATTAGATAGCTCTCATTTGAACTCATACAGCCAAGAGCTAGACCAGTTTAAATGACCTGAAAATCTCAAGGATATTTCCCATAGTCTATATCAGGGGTCCCCAAACTTGGGAACTTTAAGACTTCAACTCCTAGAAGTTCTGCTGGCTGGAGAATTCTGGGAATTGAGACTACAAGTCTTAAAGTTGCCAAGTTTGAAGACCTCTGGTCTATGTGGTGATTATATAATGTGGAGGTGGTAAACAAAGTCTCGATTCTCTAGGAAAGGGTGAAGTTTAGGTCAGATGGAATTCTTCAGAAGCAGTTTAAACCACTCTTGTGAAACCACAAATCTGGATTGAAACTTGTCCCCTCCCTACAGAACAGGCAGAAATCTAATCCAGTATTATTAGATTTCTTAACTGTATTTCTCTCTTGTCTGGATTCATTTTTAGAATATGGATTCTTGTCCAGCCTAAAACTACTGGACAAAATTCAGCACTTCTGCTATATTCCAAAATTGGTAAATAAAATATGACCATTGAAATTCTACACACTCTCGTTATAAAAACATTGCATGATAATTTATAAAATTGAACTTAATGGTCCACTGATGAACCTCCCCATTCCCTCTCCGCCCCTGGAGTAAAAAAATATCTATAAATAATACGTGGCTTCATGTTAATTTATTGGAGGAGCCAAGGGACGCTATTTAACTTCCCACCCTTCCCAATGAGCAGAGGAAGCTATTCAGAGCTATCATCAGAAGGAACAGAGATTATTTGATTTTCAATGTATTGCTGACTTCATAGAATTATCACTTTCCACTTTTGCAATGTATTCAGAGCATGCAACAGAAGAGGAGAGGAGACAAATTTGGCTGCTTTATCTCAAGATTATCTATGCAAATCTAGAGCACCGAAGAGAGCTCACTAAAGGTAAAAATAATAATATGGCTTTAAATATTACAGAAATATTTAAAATGCAGTGGGCGTAAATCTAGAATCAGAAGTCAGAATCAGGCAGGAGTGCCTAAGAAAACCTTCAGTATACAGGTAATCGTGGGCTTGTGATCACAATTGGGATTGGCATTCCTGTTGCTAAGCAAGCAATTGCTAATGAGTCAGATCCTTTTTGTTGTTGTTGTTATGGTTGTTAAGCTAAGTGAATCATGCCGTCATTAAGAAAATCCGGCTTCTCCCATTGTCGTTGCTTTTTGGAAGCCACCTAACAAAGGTTGCAAATGGCAATCACCTGACACCCCCAAGGCCTGCAGAAACCTACGGAGCAGGATGGGGAAGATAGGTGGAGGTGGGGTCATTACAGTGTCTCTGAGGTCAGTCGGAAGGACAGGCGGATTCTCCAGCACTTGAATTTTGTTCTTGTGACCATAAATCCAGGCAGGAATCATAAGCCTCTTCATTCAGCACACATCATTTCGAATGGTTGCTGAGTGAGTGGTTGTAAATCCAGGATTACCTGTACTCGGGTCAACTTGCCCTGGCCAAATCGTCACAGGACAACTCGCCATGGCCAACTTGCTGTGGGAAAAGTCTTATATTAATATTGAAGAAATGGTGGACTAGAATCATTAAAGAAAGGATGCCAAAGGAGGGACAGAAGGAAATGCGAATGACAAAAATTAAAATATTTTTTATTTATTTTAAATAATTGAATTGAATTGTTAAATTGTCCTGCTATGGCGAGTTCTCCCATGCCAAGTTGGCCATGGTGAGTTGCCCTGCAGCGAGTTGTCCCATTGCATATCAACTTATTAAATATTTGAAAGTGGAAGAGCGTTCAAATCATGTGCCACTCACGTCAAAGGCCGTTACGGAAGTCCCGATTGTGAATTGCAGCCTCTCTACGGAAAAAATGGAATGACATTTGGCATCTCAAAAGAATGTTGTATTGGTAGTCTTCGAGTTATGACAGATTGCTTAGCATCCATTTGGAGTTATACTGAGCTTCCCTAGAGCTACCGCATTTTTCAGAGTATAAGATGCATCGGAGTATAAGACGAGCCAAAATTTTGAGGAGGTAAATTAAAAAAAAAAGTTTTGCACTCTGCAGACCTCCCAAATCCTCTGCACGCCTCATTTTTGCTGAAAAATGGGGCATGCAGAGTTTGAGAGGCCTCCA